CAGTCACTTTTCTTCTGAAATAGCTCAAGAAATAACACATGCACTTGTACATGTAGGGATATATAAGTATACATGCATGTTTGTGAACACAAAAATGTGTATTTATGCACAAAACTGTGTATATGCACCTTACTAAAATGAAGAATATATATTCTCCTTGCCTTTTCTTTCCTCTGTTTCCCTACAGCTTTCAGGAGCTGTCTATGTCCAMGCCTTCCTGTGGTGCACAGCTCCTCATGAGCTTGGTGTCATTCGGTTCCTACTTCCTTACTTGGCCCACTGCCTTCTCCATTTCTTTGTCTCAATTTCTTTCTTACTCAGCTTGCCCTTCCCAGCTTCTTAATCTGAGAGATTTTAYCAAGGCTAAGTATGCGCTTCTGTAGGGCTGTATCAATGCTTCATTTCATTCTTCTGCCTTTAGGAAAATTCCCAGGCTCCAGCTCTGGCAGCCAGCACAGACATTCTGCCTTTTCCTAGATTTGACTCTTCTCAGTGCCCTGCCCTCATACCCAAACAATAACTCTTACAAGAGACTTTTTCAATGATAGATTTTTTGGCCCCTCTTCCCTGCTTATTAATACAAACTGTAATGAACCAARATATGGTGAAGACAGATGGACGTAGAAGTACAAATGATGCCTACACTGGAGTAGGGCTTTTGTACAGTGTTTRGACATGTCCTGAATGACTCCTTAGAGGTTTTGGAATAAAGACTCACCTAGGAGGACTACAAAGCCCAAACTAAATTAGTAACTYAGAAAAAGATATTGAACTCTCAAATTACCAAAACGCTTAATGGAGCATAGGGATAGTTTTCATTTCATGCAGTAAACAGCAGTTTCAGGAGTCACTCGGTTTCGAATGAACTGTATTTGACAGAAAAAATCAGACTGAAACCAGAGTGGACTGTTTGTGAATGTACTTGGGCTGAAACTGAAGAAAAGCTTTCCATGAATCGCTATAAGTGGAATCGAATGTGTTAACCTAGATGGGTGCCCTACTTCCCGCCTAGGGCACCTGTCTGCTGGCTCCCTGTGGGTAGGCAGGGTAGGAGATGACCTTGACTAAAGGGCTCTGCCTCAGATACAACACTGGGAAGGAACCATTGTTCAAACACAAACCGCTTTTTGCCCCTCTCCTCTGTGAGATGGAAGATCGGGGAGGTATAAACCCTTCTGAGTGCAAATCTTCTCTGCAAGGTGCTCTTGGCATAGTCTTGTCCCCATCCTGCTGATGCTGTTGGGGTGTGCAGYCYGTGTGGGCAGCACATKTCCACACACCATTGGCTGCAGACCTCACTCATATCTTCTGTGCCTACATTTCTAGGGGCTCCCTGGKTAGTACCTTCTCAAAGATATTTCAGTCTCATTTCATTTTTTCACATCTTCATTTTTTAATAGAAAAAGTAGAAAGGTTACAAAGTGCTTCCTGCACCAGCTGATTTCCTCTGGTTTGTAGCCATTCCCCAACACAAAGTCACTCTTGGATTGAAAAGTAAGGGTAGTTTAACAATGCACAAAAGACTCATACCGTGTTTATTGCCATGGTGCTAAGGAAAATTATATCTTGTACTGCAAGTTTGTGGCATAGCAAAGGATCTTTTTTCTAAACTTATGGTAAGTTTTTATTTTTAGATCACTTTCCGAAGCTGTATAGTTATTAGCTAGCTAGATATATCTTTAATATTTTCCATTGTTGGATTGTAATTCTTTCTCATAGAGAAATTAGCTATTTTTCTTCACGAAAGTTGGGGAACTTCTAGATCTCCAAGTGGTTTCACTATTAATTTTATTCTGAATAGGGTCCAGTATATTTCAGTTGTTCTGATTTGTGCTAGYTGTTGCACACCAGTGCTAGTGCTGACTGAAGAAAAGGGAAAAATGTGCAAAATCTGAAGTCAGTGCTGTGGTGTGTGACTGCTTTATTGCTGCCCCTTTTCCCCATCAATTCCATCAAATGTATTGAAAATCATCCATCCAGCCTGTTGTCGGTCAGGCTTCACCCAGGTGCTGTTGGAGAAATTATTTAAAATTTGTATGTGTTTCCATGCTACCRTCAGCAAAACCACAAAGGGAGAAACTGGTACAAAATCAAAGAAAATTCAGAGAGTTGCAGTTTCTGCACAATTGGACTCCACTTCCTTCACCATCTTTGTGATTCTTTGCTGGATCAGCACCAGTATGTTTGTTTCTCTTGAACTGGGGAGCCCAGGACTAGACCCAGCACATCAGATGTTTTTCACAAGTGCTGAGCAGAGAARGATCGTCTCTCTTGACCTGCTGACAAAACCCTTCTTAATGCAGCCCAAGAAGCTGTTCACCTTCTCTGGTGCAAGGGTGCATTGCTGGTGTGTGTTCCATTTGGTGTCCTCAGTAAGAGTTTTCTGCCAAGCCACCTTCCATCTGGTCAGCCCCCAGCGTATCCTGGCACAGGAGGCTGTTCTTCCTCTGTGGCAGGATATGGCATTTGCCTTTGTTGAACATCATGACTTTCCTTCTGGCCCATTTCTCCAGCCTGTTGAGGTCCCTCTGGAGGGCAGCACAAATACCTGCTTCATCAACCACTTCCATTGGCTGCAAATTTGCTGTGGGTGCACAGTGAAGATATTAACACAGTGCAGGCACAGATAGAAAATCCATAATATTCCACTAACAGCTGGTCTCCAGCTGGGCTTTGTGCTGCTGATCAGAGCCCTTTGAGCCCAACAGTTCAGCTGGTTCTCAGTGCACCTCACTGTCCATTCAATCTACTCTATGCTTCATCAGATTGTCTATGAGGCTGTTATAGTACTAAAAACCAAGGCTAAAATCAAAAGCCATCAACAAAAGCCAAGTACTAAAGCCGAGGCTAAAATCAAGAGAAAACCTCACTGTGGTCAAGACTTTCAGGTCTGATTCTGACAAGTGAGACTTTTTTTTTTTTTTTTTTTTTTTTTTTTCTGACTTATATCATTGTTGAGGTCTTCTGTCCTGGACAAATCACTATGTCCTTCTGTGCCATGCTTTATGAAGCTGGACCTGAAGTTATATAAAATTATATAGAAAGAAGGAAGGCATGATCTTGCACAGAAAGTATTTTAATACTGTCAAGTATGATCAGTTTACATAATAAGATTCAAAAGCAAGAGCTAGGCATGGACAATTCACACCAAATATTTGAAATATAAAAATAAAAAGTGCTTATAAAACCAGGGTGGTTTGTTAAAGCTTTTGAAATGTAGTGAACTTAGCATCCATGAATATTAAACACGTACAGTTTACCTTTAAGAGGAAAGGCTCTGCAGTGGGCATTTAGCTAGATTTGTACACCTACACACTGCAGATGGTTTAGTTTTATAAGAGATGAAACTGCATTTGGTGGAACTGATTAAATATAAAAACACCACCATCTGCCATTTATTCTAATATAAAATGGTTTGGGCAGATGCTGACATCTTTTGAGATGATTGATTCATCTCTGACAAGTGAAGATTCTCGGAGGGTTCCAGCTGCCCACTGCTCACACAATACCCGCTTACGAGAGCAAACGCCAATCACCGCACTGTTGATTTGGATGTAGCAGGTGAACGAAGGGCACTTTAATAACCAGCAGCCTGGAATTCCTAACTACATCAGTGGTGGGTTTTTTTCCTTCCTTTTTTCTCCCCCCTACACTTCTGGTCCACATTAAACCGGGAGGATATTTTATGCACACAGTATATTGTATTGGAGCACAGTGATAACTGGAAGAGTGTCAATTTCTGGCACAAATAGCTCTTTTTCATTTTTTAGAGTGGAAAACCATCAGATACTCTCCACATATGCTATTCATTTTAAAATTATTTTTGCTAAGTGTCCATCAGGATTACATTTAAACTTCCTGGAATATTATTTATTGAGTATGACACCAAATGCTTTGTAATAACCTAAATAACAGATGTCTATCTTGTTTTATTTGATAACATTGTCACACTCTCTACTTTGGTATTTCCTTAGAGTAGCTGGCTGTAGCATCAACTTTTTTATAGGTTTTGCTCAAACTTTTTTAAACACACATCATAAGTTATGGAAGAATTCTTAAAAAATTTCTCAGGACCAGACTGTGACATCCCTGCCCACACTGAATAGCTGCTTGCCCCAGCAGTAAGTCCTACAGCAGACAGATCATTTCTTATGAAGCAAGGTCCTGACCCAAAGCTAGATTTGTGGTGACTGCAGTGGACTTTTGGTCCATCGCCAAGTGGGAGAAAGTGCAGCATAATTAGATTGTCATGCAATAAGGAAGCAGATCCAGTCAGTCCTAACATTGCAAGTTTATAAACGGCAGGACTTCTTCAGAATACCTTAAAATAGGATGTGCTTTTTGTACACGTTAAAGTGTAATCTCTGACTGTGCCCCTCACTCAGAAGTATCATGTTTAACAGCTTCTTCACTATAAAAAATTAGTTAAAAAAGGAAAAAGGTCTGTTTATATGAAATGACATGAAAATGTGACAGTTTAGTGTTGTGCTGGCAGAGAAGCGTATGGCACATATATATAAATTTGGTCAGAGGGATACTGAGTGATTGTACAGTCATCTGAATGTATCTGAATAATTCCAGCAAAGGCTGGAATAAGCCTATTGTACAGAGAAGCAGTTGATGTTACAGTATGGGTAAAAAAACACTCTGTGTGGCATTTTTAAACTATCGAGAGAAGTTACAAGCTATATAAAAAGTATGGATTCTAATTATTGGTACAGAATCTATTCTGCTCACCTGTTGCTGAAGGTAAGGCTATAGAGAGTGTAATTTCATTGTTTAAAAAGGTAAGGGGTAAAATTAAATCAGGCAGATTCTTATCTGACATAGGCTGGGGTTTGAAGCCAATGAAGCTAATCTTATTTTGATCGGTAATACACCTAGGGCAGAGGATTCAGAAATTGATTTTTTTTCACTTCTCTTTGTATTAAACCCCCTTTTACTTATGATGTTTTCTTCACTCAGATATTTCCATTTACCTCTGCTCTCTTTTTCTCCAGGTGCTTTTTCTCCAGGAAGAGTCAATGCAACATCTTGCCTCAGAAGAAGCTTACGGGCCCTTCCTGGATGCTGTTTTGTAAGAAGCACTGATGAATGCTTCCTGCTGTGAGAGGAGGACTCTCCCATTAAAGAGGGTGACCGTGCTATTTCATCTATTCTRGGAAGCTGGGTGCCTGGAATTGCCTCTGTGTTTGGGTTTACTGCTGGGAAAGAGCAATGTTTATGTTAAACTCAAAAAGCAACACCTTAATTTGAACATTCAAAAGGTTTGTTTTTAGACAATGAAAGAGAATCTGGAAGAGAAGTGTGTTTTGGAAGTCAAAATGAAAATCAGATTCCTAATGAATATRCAATACTTAATGTATGGAATGTATATCTGACTTTAGGGAAAAGACTTTTTCTCCATTTTGGCGCCTGTTTCTTCTGACATGGAAACATTATACAAACCTAAAATGTCTAATCCAAGAAACAGCCACCAGAAYCTTTATAATGCAAATGATCTGACTGTTCTATAGTGTCTTTCTTCCAAGAGGGTCCCAAAGTGCTATACAAATTACATGTGGTGACATGAATCAGTTCCCACACCACCGAATTACAGYGAGCTCGGGGGTGTAGAACGTCTTTCTACCAGTACACAGAAGCATTACCAAACATTTTGTGGTGGCAAGCAGAAAATACAAAGGAGGCAAAATAGCTAAAGGCAAAAAGATGAAGCAGATATTGAAATTAATATTCAAAGAAGACAGAAGAAAAGGATAAAATCAGCTCCATGTTTTTCTTTGATAGTGTCCTCAGAGCTAGTGATGCACATTGTTATTGATAGCTGTAGCTGACCTTCACAATATCTGCCAAGATCCTGGTTCCCAGGACTTGGGCAAGGATATCTGGGCACTGCTCCTTGTTTCTGGCTCATAGACCATTTCTCTCTGCAGCCCCTCCCCTTGTGTGTCTGAGTTTCCACAAAGAGGGTGGAAAGTACAAGGGTGTTGGGGTACCTAAACCCTGGCCAGTTGTGATTCTTTCAGAGAATGCTCTCGGTTTTCCTGAAACAAGGGGTGAGATTGGCTCCTTGTGTCACCTACTCTGCTCCCAGCCATCCCAGTGTCAAGCAACAGGGTTGACTCATGGAGTTGAAGCCTGGGTCAAGCTTCACTTCTGCCCTTAGCAGGAATGATCTCCTGGCTGCCACTGCTCCAGCCACAGCCCCTCCAGAGGATGGAGGGAGGAAGAGAAGAGAGTTTCCCATGAAAACAGTTCAATAAAAATCAACAGTCCTCCACAACCCTATATTTCATKATTTCTTTCAGCAAAATGTTTTGGATTCTTGGTAAAAGTAGGGAAACAGATACCTTTTTTTCCCCTCAGGCCATTAGCATTGAAAGGTGAAACATGAAAAATCCCTTGATCTGTCTGATTTTACATCAGCTGAAAATTTTGTTTGACAAAGCTAAAATTTGGGATGCATCTGATGTTTCCCACCTAAATTCTGTTAAATGCTGTGTTGAAAAGAGGCTTGGTGGTTTCTTCTTTTCTTTTCTTTTTTCCTTTTCTTTTTTTTTTTTTTTTT